TTCCCTTCTGTTTGGAAATTGGCGAATTTGTAGCAATACCTAAATCAAACAATAATGCTTAAATTGTCAACTCTTACAGACCGATCAGCTTATTACCCATCTTATCTAAACTATTCGAACATCTTTTTTTGTCCCGACTAGAGCCAATAATATAAGAATACAACATATTGTCAAGCCACGAATTTAGATTTCGTGGCTTGAATCTTAAAAGATAGACTCTTAGATAGACCCTTACATGATTACTGTACGAAATCTAAATTCGTGGCTTGAATCTTAAAAGATAGACTCTTAGATAGACCCTTACATGATTACTGTGGGTGTGTTTTTAGACGTAGCCAAAATATTCGACAGCATCTGGCACGAAAGATTGCTTTACAAACTATTAAGAATATTGACGATTTTTATTTAATACTGAAAAGCTACCTTAAAGATAAATACTTCTTTGTCCAATATCAAAATGACACATCTCACATGATAAAAATAGAAGCCGGTTTTGACATACCTAGGTCAAAAACTAGAGAAATACTAACTGTAATATTTGCTGACAACACTAGACTTCTATCAACAAACCACGACATTACAAAAGCAATTCTGACAACTGGGGGATGAAGATAAACGCCGAAAAAACTGTCAAAGTTATTTTCATCAACAGAAAATTTGAAGAACAGAAACTAAAAATTGTAAACATTAATATACCAATCTGCAAGACTGATATAGTATACCTGGTATACTGATACCTAGGGTATGCTACCAAATACCTGGGTATGCTATTAGATCAACAGCTGACTTGGAAGCAGCACATAATACAGATAAAAAAGGAAGCGCATCGACGATTTGCAGATCAGTATTGGCTTCTTGCAGAAATTCCAGTCTGTTAATTGATAACAAACTACTAATTAACAAAACTGTTATTGTTCCGATTTGGAAATATGGAATTGAAAAATAATGGGAACCACCAGTAGAGGTTACAATGCTAGATGGTACATTACATACGACGATATTCACAAAGACCTGAAAGTCCCTACTCTATATAAAACAATTTAAAAAAGCAGTGCTAACTTGCTGCAGCATAAAAATTTGGAAATGAAAAGACTCCCTGCATTGAAACTAGGGCACAAAAAAACGTCTAAAATGCACACTTCCAACTTAATTAAGTATTAAGTATTAAATTAATTCTTTTCTCTCACTCAAAAAAAAATTTTTTTTTCCATTGAAATTATGTGAAATGTATTGAAACCATCATTAATATGTTATCCTCAATGATGATTTAAGATGACTCAAACTTCCAAACTTCATTTGTTGAAAGTATTACTAGATATCTATGATAGTTGCAATATTCTTGGAACAATAAAAAAACATTAATTGGTTGGCAACCCGGTTGTGATACAAGTGTTTAAAAAAGTGTTCTTAAAAATTATTGAAATATAGTAAATATTTTATACAAATTTTTTTGTATATATATATATTATAAAGTGTCAGTAAACTATTGTGAATATAAAGGAGGGTGAAAGTCAATTTAACATTTGTTAATAAGCTTAAATTACTTTGATTTTTAAAGTGTGGTCACTGGAGTAGCTAAAAAACAAAAAAAAGGCGCTAAAATATACACATGATAAACAAACAATATAAGTAATATAAAAAATAAAATAGTAACTATAATATCAATGTTAAACAATAGTTAAACTTTTTGGTTAGTGCTACGGCTACATAAACAATTATTAAACAACAGCCCTTAAAAATAGATTATTATCATAATTTTATAATTATAATTTTTTAATTTTAAACTTTTTATTTAAATCAAGTTTAAAGGATATATATCATTTTTTGTAACTATTAACTTTTTTTTTGTAATTTTTTTGTAACTATTTTTTTGCTATTAACTACAGTGTGATTGTTTTTGTGTTGCGTGTTCCTGTGTAATGGGCGATAGAAGTAACAAAAGAAATTTTCTATTAATTTGTTCAGAAACAACTAACATCATCAAAAAAAGCTATGCCGAATAGTAACAATAATTCAGCATCACAATATGTCTTCTCTTGGGCCGTTTTTGACGAGCGCTTGGCAAGTGTTTTGAATATCAAACTTGAGAACGTTGCTAAGAAAGATGATCTGCAAGTATTGAGAGCAGAAATCAATTCTTTAAAGCAAGAAAATACTTCACTCGAAGAAGAATTGCGCCGGTAAAAAACGCAGGTTGACCACATAGATAAAGACGGTAGGCGAATATTGTTGTAAAAGGCTTATCGTGTGACACAGTTATGTCTGCTGAAAAGGAAATTCTCAAACTGTGCAGTAATGTGCTGAAAGCAAATGTATCTGTGTGCACTGTAAAAAACTTTCGGGTAATGGCATTTTTATTGCAACTCTTGGGTCAGAATCGCGGGCTAGATAGATATTATTCGCTGTGATGAAATTAAAAGGTTCAAATATTTACATAAATAGGGATCTCACAGTGGATGAACGGTCCAGAAAACAGAATATGCGCGCAGTAGCTAATGAGCTTGAAAGACTCCTGGTGTTAAAGTTCTATTAGGTGATTACTCGACAAATCTTTCACTTGGCGAGAAAACAAAATTATTGCTGCTACAACAGAAGATGCGAAAATGATTAATAACTTGCTTACTACAACAAGGTTACAGTGCGATTACAGTCAAACAAAATATAAGTAATTGTAATTAATTATATTTTGTAATTGGACTACACTGCAGTGGATGTTGCCTTGCCGGTGAATTCGAATTAGCAATTGCCAGTGTGTCAGGTGTTTTCTTATAAAGTAGCTAATTTAAAAAGTAAATTTAATCATAAAAATTTTTTCACTTTTGTTAACTTATTTAAAACACATGTACTGGTCGAAAACCAAAATAACTTTACTTATTTCTTTCAAGATTATATATTGTGGTGGCTGAGAGCGTCTAAAATTCATAATGCTGGCAGAGCGAGTGCTGGTTGTCTTGGTGGAAAAATTTGAAAAACAGTCTCCTCAAACTAGCTACATCTCTACAATGTGAAGACTTTCGTATTCACATGAGTCCCTGCTTACATGTAATTCCGGCCTTCCAGTTATCTCTTGGTTTCTTCCCCCCTTTTGTCAATTCTTTCCTTGATTCTCCTTTTGAACTTCGTGAACTCCAGCTTGTGCTTGCAAACACCAAATCTAATAAAGCTTCAGATAACGACAGTATTCCTTATGAGTTCTACAAAAATGCTCCTTCTGGTTTCCTTAAGGAGTTACTTACGCTATATAATTATAAATTTCTTCACGGTGTCATACCTTCTTCGTTTTCAAAATCGATAATTTAACCCATTATTAAAAGTTTAACAAACCTAACATATTTTAGCTCGCTTGTAGTTACACGTATGCAGCAAATAAATATTGTAAATATTAAATACATTGTTTACGTTTATAAGTTCAATAGCTTCATATATTGTATTTATGCTTATGCAGCAATATGTGAAATTTAAATTATTATTTTAGTTATCAATAATTGTAAATATTATTGTGCTTAGTAAGTAATTCTATACTATATAAGGTAACAATATTGATAATAAAACTCGAGAGCGAAAACAATCGTCTTTCCTTCAAAAACAAAATTTGGTTATTGGTAGATGTGCCTTTTAAAGACTATAGCAAATAAATAAAAAATATTTACTTACTTGGCTAGCGGTTTATGTGCCTGCAAGCCTTTCGTCATAAATACCTGATTATTGGTTTATGTGCCTAATAGTCAGTGTAACGAAGTAAGAAAATACATTATTTGATATCACCTCAGATTACGTGGTAGTACATTGGTGACCCCGACGTGATTGGCAAGAGCAACTCAGTGTGAACCAGCAGCGTTTACAAAAACCTTCATTGAAAACAACTTTTTTCAACGGAAATACAATAACCATGGATCCAAAATTAATATCCACTTTAACTGACCAGCAGGATCCAAATAACCATGGATCCAAAATTAATATCCACTTTAACTGACCAGCAGGATTCAGATAAAGTGGATATTGATTCAATTGATTCAATTGGTTCAGAGATCGACAGAATCATTCGCAACTTCAAGAAGGACTCACCCAGCAGGAAAACACGTCAATATCTCGAAGATCGTAAAACAACTTTAGAACAGTTATTAGCTGACTTCAAGGCTAATGACGAGCGACTACAACAAGCCGATGTACTAGCAAGAACATCGGAATATTTCACACAAGATTACGGCATGGTAATCATAAATTTGGGTAACAAATATATCACCACAATAACTCAAGAGCTGGAAGCATTACCCATTAAGGCTCAACCATCAACAATAAAGGGGTTGGACCTTCAAATAAATAATGATGTTGAAGCTCCTGAAATAGTATTACCTACTGGTGGTCAAGAGAATGAAATTATTCAGGCATTAGTCAACAGACGAAATGCAGTGTGTAAATCAATCAATCGTCTCATCCACAATGTGAGACAAGATAACCAGCAACAGGTACCACAATATTTTGCAGTAAAATTAGCTACCCTTACCAAGTTATGGGATCAGGCTGAAGGTTTAAATTTTACTATTCAGGAACGGCAAGACAACTCTCCTGATTGCAATCATTATCTAGCACTGGAACAGTTGGTGCAAGATACAATGGTGGAATGGACTAGTAAGTTGACCAAGATTGAGACATCAATTAGGTCAACTTATCAACCATCGGCTACTTTGCCAACAATATCTCTTCCAAAGTTCAGTGGAGATTATTAGAGTTGGCGACAATTCAGTGATCTGTTTGCACAACTGATACACAATCAAAGAATATCAGACTCACAGAAACTCTGGTATTTGAAAACCAATATTCAAGGCGAAGCTGAAGCACTCATCAAACATTTGCAAATATCAGATGCAAATTATGAGACGGCATGGCAATTACTACAAAGTAGATATGAGAATAAAAGAGTTCTAGTATCAGCAGTTTTGCAACGTTTGACAGCTCAAAACTCTTTATATGACCATCCAACCGTCCAAGCCATTAAAAATATGCATGACACAACAAAGGAAAGTCTATGTGAACTTCATAATTTAAATATTGAAACATCAACTTGGGATCCAATTTTAGTTCACATACTACTAAAAAAGTTGGATAAAAATACACATTGCAGTTTTGAACAAACTCTTACTAACCCAAGGGAGATGCCCACAATAAAACAATTCTTAGAATTTTTAGTATTGAAATTTCAGTCACTTGAGGCTATAGGTCTACGAGACAATGCAGTATATAAACCCAACAAAAGGATAGCCGTAACTATGGTTTGTTCAGATCTATGTAAAGTTTGTAACACAGATAAACATCCGATCTACTATTGCAAAAAATTCATTGAAATGACTCCTCCTGAACGATTAAATTGGATTCAACGACAAAAACTATGTGTGAATTGTTTCAAATCCGATCATAAAGCAAAGGTTTGTGAAGCTGGATCATGTAAAAAATGTGCCAAGAAGCATAACACTTTGCTTCATTTAGAGCAACAGTCACCTAAACCTTCAAGGGCACCAGCAACAAACACAAAGTCAACCACAACATTGATCAACGCTAATGAATCGCCATCCATAACAGCAACAACTAATGCAAAGGGTACTCGTAATTACGTTCTGCTAGCCACTGCAAAGGTGCGCATTATTGCAAACAATGGACGAACGTGTGATGTTCGTGCCATACTCGACTCAGGTTCTCAAGTGAACCTAGTAATCCAAAGAGTAATCAACAAGTTATCTTTAATTACCACAAATTCAAATCTATCGATCGAAGGTATTGGCCGTCAATTCGGGAACTCAAAATCTCGCGTAAATGTTGAACTGCAGGCTACTAATGGAAGCTTCAGGACGAGACTAGAGGCATTTGTATTGCCACAAAAAATATCAGCACAACCGTCACGAGACCTAGATATTTCGGATTGGCAGATCCCACAGAATGTAGAATTAGCAGACCCCAGCTTTAACAGATCTGGAAGAATTGACATGCTGATTGGTGCTGAATTCTTTCATACTCTACTTCAACCAGAACAATTGATAATAGGAAAGAATTCGCCACTGTTACAAAATTCGGTTCTAGGTTGGTTGATGGTTGGTAAGACTAAAACTACAACAGATATTAAACCAACATGCGCTATTACTACAGGAGAAGTTGGTGAAATGTCAGAAATGATAGAACGATTTTGGAAGTTAGATAACATTGAGACTGCAGAAAGGGTTTTGACTTTATCTGAGAAATGGTGTGAAAATCACTTTACAAATCATGTAAAGACAAATCACGATGGTCGTTTCATTGTACGCTTACCTTTCCGCGATGATCCCACAACACTTGGTAGATCGCGTGAGATAGCATTCAATCGATTTTGTTCTCTGGAAAGGAAGTTACAAAGGGACCAAAATTTATACAAGGAGTACATAAAGTTCATGGCTGACTACGAGTCATTAGGTCACATGGAAAAAGTTTGCCCGAAAGATGTCAAAGGAGCACAATATTTCATTCCTCATCATTGTGTCTTGAAACCTGACAGCACTACAACCAAATTGAGAGTTGTCTTTGATGCATCAGCAAAAACATCAAGCGGTTTAGCACTAAACGATATTTTGCACAAAGGTCCAACAGTGCAAAGTGATCTTTTTTCAATACTGTTGCGTTTTAGAATACACCGGTTTGTATTTACGGCTGATATTGAGAAAATGTACCGGCAAATTCAAGTACATGATGAAGATACAGCACAGCAGCTGACAATCTGGAGAAAAAGTGCTGATGATAGTATACAATATTACCGACTGAAAACGGTTACATATGGAACAAAGTCAGCCCCTTATCTTGCAACAAAATGTCTTCAACACCTTGCGAAACATAATATGACCAACTATCCGCTTGGAGCACCTGCATTACTTAATGATTTTTATGTAGATGACTGTTTAAGCGGAACTAACAGCATCATTACCGCCTTACACACTCAACAACAACTTACGGAACTGCTCAGTAAATCAGGATTTAAGCTGAGAAAATGGTGCTCAAATAATACACGACTCCTACAAAACATTCCGATAGAAGACCAAGAAATCAACCTTGATTTAGATGACTCAGCCATAAAGCCAACAAAAACATTAGGCATTATTTGGCTCCCGAAATCAGACGAATTTTGCGGTAAGGCAGAGATGTCATCAGAGCAACCTATCACGAAGCGGATTGTGGCATCGGACTTATGTAGCTCGAATTTTTGATCCTTTGGGAATTTTTGGCCCCATTACTGTAACAGCTAAAATATTCATGAAGGAATTGTGGCAACAAAACTATTCCTGGGATGCAGAACTGTTACCTCAGGCTCAGCTAGAATGGAAGCGTTTTAGAAATGACTTACAAACATTAAATACTGTGAAAGTACCCAGACATATTTTTAATTCGACGGTTCCCTGTTCGATTCAATTACACGTGTTTACGGATGCATCAGAGAAGGCATATGGAGCAGCTATGTACGTGCGAGCAATATATAATGATAAGACAATAACATCGAGACTATTGTGCGCCAAATCTAGAATAACACCATTAAAGAAACAGACACTTCCACGACTAGAACTCTGCGCAGCATTGCTGGGAGTCGAATTAGCAGAAAGAGTTAAACAAGATTTAAAGTATCAAAACGTGCCAACCTACTTTTGGTCCGATTCCGAAATTGTTTTGTCATGGATACTATCTTCATCTGCCTCATTGCACACATTCGTAGCAAATCGTATTAGCAAAATTCAAGAGATGTCACTTGCTGATCAATGGCATCATGTGGCGTCAAAGGATAATCCTGCTGACATCATTTCCAGAGGAATGAAAGTTAAAATGTTCAATTATTCACATATATGGTTTTTTGGTCCACTCTTCCTTCATGGAGGCAACGAATTTTGGCAACAGCCAAACCCAAAGGCATTTAACATCTCAACCGATATCGAAAGACGACAAGGACATACAGTTAACATTATCATTCAAACAACTGGTTCTGATCACATGATAAATCAAATTGATCATCGAAACTCATTCAGATACCTCCAAAGAACAATTGGTTATGTTCGCCGTGTATTTCATCGCACACAATCACCAACAAGAACACTTTCTCCAAAGGAATTACGAGATGCATTAGTCTTCATAATTAAAACTATTCAGGGCTCAGAATTTGCAAAGGAAATCTCTGACTTAAAACAATGTAAAGCAATCAACAGTTCGAGTCAACTAAATATTTTAGCACCGTTCATTGACGAACAAGGTGTACTTCGTGTTGGAGGAAGGCTTGAAGCATCAACATTGCCATATGATGCTAAACACCCAATGGTAATTCCTTACAATCACTCAATAGTGAAATTGATGTTCAAAATGAAACATGAAGAAAATTCCCATTGTGCCCCACAATTATTGCTAAGCACAATGAGACAAAACTTCTGGCCGATTAAAGGAAAGATTATGGCGCGAAACATTGTTCACACCTGTGTCATCTGTTCAAAGGCAAAACCAAAACTGATTGACCAACTCATGGGCAATTTACCGACTGATCGAGTTACTCTGACTAAACCATTTTTTACCACAGGAGTTGATTACTGTGGTCCGATATGGATTCATTATAAAATTAGAGGAAAAAGGCCAACAAAGGCATATTTAGCAGTATTTTGCTGTTTCGCGACTAAGGCTGTTCACCTAGAAGTGGTGAGTGACCTGACAACAGAGGCATTCATAGCCGCTATTCAACGTTTTATCAGCAGAAGAGGAAGATGCCAAACAATTTATAGTGACAATGCGACTAACTTTGTTGGGGCGAGAAACCAACTACAAGAGCTCCAGTCTACCATTTATTCAGAAAATGGTAAAGAAAAGATCATTAAGACCAGTAGTAACAAGGGAATTGACTTCAAATTCATTCCACCAAGAGCTCCTCATTTTGGAGGACTCTGGGAAGCTGCCGTCAAGTTAGCTAAACATTCAATGATTAAAGGAATTTTCAATGCTTCATTGACTTATGAAG